TCTTTTTTTTTTTTTTTTTGAGACAGAGCCTCAAGCTGTCACGCTGGTAGAGTGCAATGGCATCACAGCTCACAGCAACCTCCAACTCTCCGGCTGAAGTGATTCTCTTGTCTCAGCCTCCCAAGTAACTGGGACTACAGGCACCCACCATAATGCCCAGCTATTTTTTGGTTGTAGTTGTCATTGTTGTTTGGCAGGCCCAAGCTGGGTTCGAACCCTCCAGCTCTCATGTATATGGCTGATGCCATAGCCACTGAGCTACAGGTGCCAAGCCCAAATGAAGAACTTTAATACCACAAGTTATCACAACACAATTTGGTTAACTTTCCCTTAACAAAAATAGTACATGTGTGATTTTTTCTTTGAAATTCTAAGCATACTGTACATGAGGTGTTATAGCCTATTTTTCATGTAATATTCATTTGTGAGCATTTCCTTGTGTTCATCAATATTCTTCAAAGTCAGTGTATCAGCCGGGCATTGTTGCACACCTAGCCAGTCCATAATTATCATACTAGTCTGTTGTTCAATACCGTGCAGGTGTATGCTGTAAAAGCACTTTAATGCGCCTTAGTCCTCATCTCTGAATCTTTTCCTTAGGTTCCTTTTCTAGAGATGTACATCGCAGTGTTTGTCTTTTATAGGGAAAACTGCCACCACCACTAGTCACCATACTGAGGGGCCCTGTAGCTGTCCAGTCTTAGCCTCAGCTGATTGGGCTATGGGAGGGCAGCCAATCCATAGGCTGGCTAAGACCTTTTTCTTACTTAGTTGGAAATATAATCTGCCAATGAGATTATGCTCTCAAGAGTAAAGAGAAGAGGTGATGTTGCCAGCAAATGACTGAGGCTATAGAAATGCAGTAAGTAGCAGTTAGATGGTAAGGGAAAGCCAGAGCAGAGAGGAGCAGCCAAGTCCTGTGAGTAGAGGTAGGTAGCACGTCCAGAAACTCATAGCTGCTCCCAGGTCTGTGTACTCCCCTCGGCTGGGATGTTTAGGCTTTCCTGGGTTTTTGTGTCTGTATAGATTCTTAGGTTTTTTTGAAAGAGAATCTCACTCTTGCCCTAGGCTGGATTGCCATAGCTTCAGCCTAGCTCACAGCAATCTCAAACTCCTGGTTTCAAGTGACCCTCCTCCCTCACCTTCCCAGTAGTTGGAACTACAAGTACCTGCCACAATGTCCAGCTATTTTTTTTCTATTTTTAGTAGAGATGGGGTCTCACTTTTGCTCCGGCTGGTCTTGGGCTCCTGAGCTCAAGTGATCCTCTTGCCTTGGCCTACCAGATTACAGGCACAGGGCACCATGCCCAGCCTAGACTCTTAATTTTTCTCAAGATAATTTGACTGATTTTACTTGCATCTACAATCACCCAACTGATTGGGTAGGTTCTAACTACATGGTCAAAAAATAGTACCATTGGGGGCACCCATAGTTCAGTGGTTAGGGTGCCGGCCACATGCTCTAGGGCTGGTGGATTCAAACCCAGCCCGGGCCTGCTAAACAAAAACCAAAAAATAAATAAATAAACTGGGCATTGTGGCAGATGCCTGTAGTCCCAGCTAGTAGCCGTAGTAGGGAGGCTAAAGCAAGAGAATCACTTGAGCCCAGGAGTGAGTTTGAGATTCCTGTGAGCTATGATGCTATTGCAGTCTACCAAGGGTGACAAAGTGAGACTGTCTCAATTAAAAATAATAATAATAAGGCCCAGCACCCGTAACACAGTGCTTACTGTGCCAACCACATACACAAAGGCTGGTGTGCCCCAGGCAGCTAAATAACAATGACAGCTTGGACAAAAAATAACTGGGCATGTGGTGGGTGCCTGTAGTCCCAACTACTTGAGAGGCTGAGGCAAGAGAATCACTTAAGCCCAAGGGTTTGAAGTTGCTTTGAGCTGTGATGCCATGGCATTTTACCAAGGGTGATATAGTGAGACTCTGTCTCAAATAAATAAATTAATTTAATTAAATTAAAAAGACCATATTTAAAGTTCTTTTTTTTTTTTTTTTTTTTGCCAGGGCTGAGTTTGAACCCACCACCTCCAGCATATAGGGCCAGCGCCCTATTCCTTTGAGCCACAGATGCTGCTCTTTTTTTTTTTTTTTTTTAAGACAGAATCTTACTTTGTCCCCCTCAGTAGGGCATCGCAGCTCACAGCAACCTCCAGCTCTAGGGCTTAGGTAATTCTCTTGCCTCAGCCTCCCAAGTAGCTGGGACTACAGGCACCCAACACAATACCCGACTATTTTTTTGTTGCATTTTGGCCTGGGCTGGGTTCGAACCCACCACCCTCGGTATATGGGGTCGGCACCCTACTCATTGAGCCACAGATACTGCCCCATATTTAAGTTCTTTATGGCTATGCTTAATTTCCTTTCAGAAATGTAAATTTATGTTCCAACAATACATGAGTAAAAGTCATCTTGATCTATTTTCTTTTTTTTTTTTTTTTTGAGACAGGCCTCAAGCTATTCCCCTGGGTAGAGTGCTGTGGCATCACAGCTCACAGCAACCTCCAACCCCTGGGCTCAAGCAAGTCTCCCGCCTCTGCCTCCCAGGTAGCTGGGACCACAGGCGCCCAGCACAACGCCTGGCTCTTTTTTGCTTGCAGCCATTGTTGTTTGGCGGACCCAGGCTGGATACGAACCCACCACCTTAGGTGTATGTGGCTGGTGCTTAGCCACTTGAGCCACAGGCAACGAGCCGATCTATTTTCTGTGATATCTTTGACAGAGAATCTCAAGAGGCAACATTAGGAGCACCCAGGTTTCACTGTGTTTGGTCACTGCTCAAGTCCATGCCAAGGCAGGTCTACTGAGTCACCTGCTGGTCAGGCTGATCTAGACAGGTTCTAAAGTCTGCCTCCAGCCAGCCACTACTGATCACCTGATTTTTTGCCCACCTTCAGGTAACTTTATACTTGGAACTTTGACTTGTCCTGGAACGTGTTTCTTGGGTATAGTCCAATTAGGATGTGACCTCACTATGTTTAACATTTTAATCAATTGCAAATTCAGCATGTTTATAATCCAGTTAACAATACAGAGTGACATCTAAGGAGAGAAATTCCTTTATTAACACTTCCCTGTTGGCCAGGCTCAGTGGCTTATGCCTGT